GCAAGAATTTTAATTTGATTATCTAAGCTCTACTGGAATATAAAGAATAGCATTAATTCGTAAGACCAGCCATGAACAACAGAAAATTCAAAATAGTCTCAAAAACAATGTTCAGTAATTTGCCTCTGTGCAACAGACATCTTATGAATTAAACGCCAGAAATCGCAAAGCAGAGTATATTAGAATTCCACTTTTTTTTGTAAGTAGTCGACCTCCTAAGATAAGTTGCTCAATACATGTTCTGCATGCATGCCATTATGAGAAATTAATTTCACCCTTAAGAGACGCAGACAGGGCCAAAGTAGGGAATCAAAGTATCTTGGACATTATCCCTCGCCTTGACTAATTTTACAGTCTTTTCTTCTCTTCCATTTCCTTCTTGTCATACCCATGTTCTGTCCACTTGTCCTAGTCATTAACTAAGTTTTGCCCTTTTCGCCACTTTACCTTATCATAGTGTTATACCTGGGGGCTTTGTCCCTAAGGCCCACCCTATCGCTGTATCTTGAATACGGAGCTAATGACCTTAGATGTTGACGCGGCAGAAATTTTTCAATTAAAAAAAAAAGATCTTTCTCCATCTCTTTCCTCATCCCGGTACATACGTCCTCTCTTACTCTCACCCATACTCTCCCTCTCCCTCACAATCACTCTTCCTCAAGCCATCGTTCTCTCCCTCTTCCTCGTTCACCATTCTTCCTCTCGCTCCCTGTCCCTAGTTCACCCTACCTCGCATTCTCTCTCACGTATCCTCTCTACGTCTCCCCCTCCTACCGTAGTTCACCCCTCCTCTTTCCATCCTTACTTATACGTAATTTCTCTATCTCTTTCTAAGGTTAATGGCTATACATGTTGACAAGATAGGTAATACTTCCCTTCCTGCCTCCCCATCTCTTTTTCTCTGCCTCTTTCTCTCATTCTCTCTATCGCACACGGCCTTCATTGCTCTTCAGTGGAACTCTATGAAAAAGAAGGATTCATAACCAATCGTTTCACATTCAACAACCCAGCCCCCCCCCCCCCCCCAGTCCCATGTTCGTTGTCGTGGTGGTGATGGTGGTGGTGGGGGTGGGGGGGGGGGGTAGGAGACGGAGGCTGAGACCCAAAGGTTCTCAGACCTCGCCTGAACTAATTTTGCATGGTCTTTTCTTCTCCCCCTTCCCCATTCCTTCTCTTCTTCATCCACTTCTGTCCACTTATCCTAATCGTTAACTATTTTTTATACTTTTCGTTACAATACTTTACCATAGTGCTATATGAGCTTTGAAGTCTAGCACATTTATTTGTTTTAACCATTAACCATTAACAACCCACCAATCGACCAACCCGTATTAGGAAACCTTGGTAAATACTAATCACAATATGCTTAGGACAACTAGTATGTTTTTTGGCGGTTAATCAAAGCAAGACTTAAAAGCAGTTATAAACTTTTTATTCGAGAATGCATATACTGTATAGTCAAGGTATATTATTGAAATATATATTTGAATGTATGTGCACATGTACATGATGCGTTTGTGTGTGTAATATATATATATATATATATATATATATATATATATATATATATATATATATATATATATATATATGTTAACATGTATATCACGGAATACAAAGCCTTCGGCGCCGGTTGTCAAGTGAGATTCCCTCTTGACATCAGACATGAAGCCATTTTTCAGTATGATGTCATCATGACGTCACTACTACAACATACAAATACTAGTGACGTTTACTAAATAACCATGGCGTCATCATGACATCTCATCACAACACGAAAATCACAGATGGCGACACGAACAGGAGCGAGAAGGAGAAGGGGCAGGGGAAGAGGAGGAATAGGCCCAAAGGATGCCCTCAGTTGCAGCGCTTGAAGGTGGCGCCGCAGAAGGGGAACAGCTCGGGCGTGTCGCATTGCTGGCAGGCCGAGGCAAGTGGGCGGCAGCACAGGAAGTGGTCGCGGCAGCACAGCGGCCACAGAGAAGGCTCCATCGTGCTGCATTCGTCGCGGCACTGCATGCAGGAGTCTGCAGGCGGAAATAGGACTATTAGGGCTGGCAAAAGGGGCGGCCATTGTAGCATGTAAAAATACATGGAGAGGCAAGTATAACAGAATCACAGCATCGTAATTACAACTCAAATATAGTGCGTTGTTTTAAAAGAGACCTACGAAAGACCTGTCACAACAAGGCACTCGGAGAAGACGAGGAATAACGGGGTAAAAGGAGAGGCAGAGGGCGAGGAGAAACGGGAATGACTGGAGATCGAGGGCGACAGGTAAGAAGGAGCGGTTGGGAGGGGAGGGAGGGGGGGTCAGAAGGCTGAGTTCGAGGAATGCCAAAGGAAGGGATGGGAGATCAACAGAAAGTAGAAAACGAAGAATAAGACATTATCGATCAGGATGCAGAGGACGACGAATTACAAAGACTGAAGATCGAGGGCGAGGGCCAGTGTGATGAGACCTACCTGTGGTGCAGTTGAAGGTGCTCGACGCCAGCTCCTGTCTGCATACGGCGCCGCTCTCCCCCCGAGGACACGGGCTCTGGCCGATGGTGTTCTCGTCCTGCCGAAGCATCGAAGTCACGTAAGAAGAGGAACCTGGAGTCGGGACACACGGGGCCGGAAGAGGAGACGAGGAAGAAGGAAAAAAAGGAAGAGGAGGAAGAAGGAAAAGAGGAAGAGGAGGAAGGGGGAGGAGTAAAATGAAAATGAAAGAAAAGGCGGAGGAAGAGAAGGAAAAGAAAGGTTATAAGGAGAAGGAGGGGGAAACGGAGATGCGAGGAAAATGATACGAACGAGAAAGAAGAAAAAAGAAAAGAAGGTGGAAAAGAGAAAACGAAAAAGGATAGTAAAATGGAAATAAGACGGAGGGCAGAAAAGAGAGGGGGGAAATTAAAAGAAGGAAAAAAAGAGGAAACGATAAAATGAGGGGGAGAACAAGGATGGAATAAAAAGGACAGACGAAGAGAGGAAGGGATAAACGACGGGCTAGGGAAGATTGAAGATCGAAAAAATAACAGATCATTAACAGCTACTGAACAAAAATTACCCATTACATAAATCACATATGTCTACCGGATAAATGCCTATTACAATAGGTCTGCAGACGAGTTAGTGAGTCCAGTTAGCTTAGATTTCAGTGACAACGCCTTTTAAATATGAATGCCAAAGTTATTCAAAAGTTTGTTGTACACAGAAAAAAAGAAAAAAAAAAGAGAAAGAGAAAGAAAAAGATACAAAATAAAAGCCAAAAAAGAAACAAAACCCCGAAGCTTAGACCGCCATTTCGCAAAACCTGTTCCACGGCTTTTGTTGATGACGTCACAAGGTCGCCTGCTTTTCAGAGTGTAACTGTGCTCGCGATGCATTATTTGGGAGGGAGAGAGACGGGATGAAGGAGGAGGGAGAGGGAGAGAGACGGGATGGAGGAGGAGATAGAGGGAGACAGAAGGGATGGAGGAGGAGGGAGAGGGAGACAGACGGGATGAAGGAGGAGGGAGAGGGAGAGGGAGACAGACGGGATGGAGGAGGAGGGAGAGAGAGATAGACGGGATGGAGGAGAGAGGAGGAGGGAGAGGAGACAGACGGGATGGAGGAGGAGGCTAGAGGGAGACAGATGGGATGAAGGAGAGAGGAGGAGGAGGGAGAGGGAGACAGTCGGGATGAAGGAGGAGGGAGAGGGAGACAGACGGGATGGAGGAGAGAGGAGGAGGAGAGGGAGACAGACGGATGAAGGAGGAGGGAGAGAGACGGGATGGAGGAGAGAGGAGGATGGAGAGGGAGACAGACGGGATGGAGGAGAGAAGAGGAGAGAGAGGGAGACAGACGGGATGGAGGAGAGAGGAGGAGGGAGAGGGAGAGAGACGGGATGAAGGAGGAGGGAGAGGGAGACAGACGGGGTGAATGAGAGAGGAGGAGGGAGAGGGAGACAGACGGGATGAAGGAGAGAGGAGGAGGAAGAGGGAGACAGAAGGGATGAAGGAGAGAGGAGGAGGGAGAGGGAGACTGACGGGATGAATGAGAGAGGAGGAGGGAGAGGGAGAGAGACGGGATGAAGGAGGAGGGAGAGGGAGACAGACGGGATGAAGGGGAGAGGAGGAGGGAGAGGGAGAGAGATGGGGTGTAGGAGGAGGGAGAGGGAGAGAAGAGGAGGGAGAGGGAGGTAGATGGGATGGAGGAGAAAGGAGGTGTGGGAGGGAGATAGACGTGATGGAGGAGGAGGGAGAAGGAGAGAGACGGGATGAAGGAAAGGAAAGGAATGCAGAGGGAGAGAGACAGGATTCTAGAGAGAAAAGGAGAGGGAGAGAGAGACAGGATAGATGTGAGAGAGAGAAGGAAAGAGAAGAAGGGAGAGAAAAAATGAGGGAGAGACAAGGAGGAGGGAGAATGAGAGAAAGGGAAAGAGGGAGAGACAAGAAGGAGGGAGAATGAGAGAAAGAAGGAAACGGTGGACAGAAGAGAGATAAGAAAGCGGGAGGGAGGCGAAAAGAGAGAAGGAGAAACAGGAAGAGATGAGGAAAGAGAGATAGAGAGAGACGGGAGGGAAGCATGTACTGAAAGGCCTGATACTGCTTTCTTCCCCCTAAGAGCTCGTACAGCAAAGGCCCAGCCACCTTTCTCTCTCCCTCACTCCCTTTCAACCTTACTCCCATCCGCACTGTCCTTCTCTCTCTGCTCCAATGAACACACATGGCAAGGGATCAGATCCGGCCCGAAGTCCTTTTTCCCTCCCTCCCTCCCTCCCTCCCTCCCTTCCCTTTCCCCTCCCCCAGGAGCACTCACAGTAGAGGGCACGTCCGGCTCCGCATCCTCGTCGGGGAACACGTTGGGGATGAACGTGGCGGAGCGGTGTCTCATCGGCTGCTCGGCGGCGGCGCTGGGAGGTTCCTCTGCTTCGGCACTGACGTGGGCGGCGACGGCGAGGAGGACGAGGGGGAGGAGGAGCAGGGCCTGCGCGCGGGGCGTCGTCGACAGTCTCACTTGCATCGTGGCTCTGCAGCGAGAGAGGGAGAGGGGGGAGGGGTAAAGAAGCTGCAACGATAGACATGAGGTGCACATGAGTGCTTGGGTGCATGTACCTATACATAATTACACAGACACGTGCTCATACACAGGCATGATATCTATACATACAAATGTGTGTGTGTGTGTGTAATATATATACATGTAAGAGAGAGAGAGAGAGAGAGAGAGAGAGAGAGAGAGAGAGAGAGAGAGAGAGAGAGAGAAAGAGAGAGAGAGAAAGAGACAAAGAAAGAGAGAGAGAGAGAATGAGAGAGAAAGAGAACAAGAGAGAGAGAAAAAGAGAAAAAGAGAGAGAGAAGAAGAAGAAGAAGAAGAAAAAGAAAAGAAAAAAAACTAAAAAGATGATTGCTTGCTCCAGTGCTTGACCTAGGCCGGATCTCAAGCCAAACCACCTGATGTAAACAGTGTATATTTACATAATAACCTGGTCAAGGAATGAATGGCGAAGTGTTAAACCTTCCTGAGCAAACCAGACAAGGCGCGGCTGTCTTGTAGCTTTGCCACGGGATGTCTGCTGCAGAATCTGGGTTAGGTCGAGGTGGCCGACGGTAGCCAAGCCCCTGACACCAAGCCAGGGTAAGCTCGGGTCAAGGTCAAATCGAGGAAATAAACCTTAGCTTCTGATGGTAAATTATCAGATTTTATTTGATAAATTACTCAATACTGGAATTAGAGACTTACCTTTACACTCAGTGAAAAGCTGCATGACCAACAATGCATTGCAATGAATACTCGGAGCTTAAGGATATACACCTTGGGGTCTTTCAAGCTTAAATTTTTGGCCTTTTGTTATTTTTAATATCATATTCTGCTTTAAAAATCAAGTTCGTCTTATATGCTGATGACACAAATAATCATATGCAGATAAATCCCCATCCTTACTTATGGATGCCTTAAGCCAAGAAATTAATAACATCACTATATGGGTGTTATCAAATAAAATTCTAAATGCTGAGAAAAAGACAAAGTTTATGGCATTCCAGTGTAATAATCCAAGGCCTTACGAATAAATGGTGTAGTGGTTTGTAAAATGAACCTTATAAATTTTCTTGGAGTTACTATTAATGCGAATTTGACTTGTAAAACAACACATAATTCAGTTTATCTCATTCAAAACTATGTGCAATTTTTTTTTCAAAATTCGGAATCATCCATCTAAGGAAGCCTTAATATACCTTACTTGGTGTACCGCTTTAGCATTCTGGGGCAACTCATATAACGTGCACTTAAAAAGTTATTAGGGCATAAAAAAAATATATTCATATATTATATGGTACTTACAGTCTTCAAACATATTAAATGTATAGAGATTCAAACCGTATTTAGTAGAATCGAACTTGCCCATAATGCTAGAATAAACATTAACATCCTCTGTCCTCAAGTGTGCAACGCCCTAATTCCCTAAAAAAAAGAATCTATAAAATCCTTTAAAAATACATACAAAAAAATCTTTGTTGTGGTAAAATTTATGTTGTCAATTATCACGAACTTAGACATACTTTAAAATGTTCATTTTAAATGTTTCTCTTTTGATACTTTCATTTTGTCATTCTTATTTGTTTGTTTTAGCATCGCGTATGCTTGGGAACTTTGCTCGGCAGACTGCATTGCCGTGAACTATGTAATCATTTATATCATGTATTCTGTTGCTGACAAATAAAATTGTGAAGTTACATAGGCTCGCGAAGTATTGTCAGAGGGCAGTGACAAACGGCTTGGCATTTGGAACGGGGCGATGCGCTAATCAGATGGGCTTCAACATACGGAAAACACGCGGGACAAGGATACAGAAAGGTGAGGGAGGGAGGAAAGAAGAGAGGGAGGGAGGAAAGAAGAGAGGGAGGGAGGAAAGAAGAGAGGGAGGGAGGGAGGGAATGAGGGAAAGAGGAAGGGAGGGTAAGAGGGAGGGAAGGAGGGGGGGGGGGAAGAAGAGGAGGGAGGGAGGGAAAGAGGAAGGAAGGGCGGAAGGGAGAGATAGATAGAGAGAGAGAGGAATGAAAGAGAGGAAAGAGAAAGAGAATATATTGTGAACATTTTTAATGTTAATGTTAATCCCACTTACATAAATCTCTCTTTCTTTCTCGGTCGCTTTCTTGATATCTCTATCCCTTATTATTGCTTCGTTTAGTCCCTGCAGTTCCCTCTTTGTAAGTCTCTTGTCGACCTCTTCGGGTGACAGAGCACAACCAGGTAACCTTCTTGAGGTGCGAGGGAGCGAGAGGGAGGGAGGGAGGGGGGGAGGGATGCAAACAGAGGAGAGATGAGATGGGAGGGAGCGAGAGGGAGGGAGGGAGGGAGGGAGGGAGGGAGAGAGGGAGAGAGAGAGAGAGAGAGAGAGAGAGAGAGAGAGAGAGAGAGAGAAAGATTTGGAAAGAAAGAGAGGGAGAGATAGAGCGAGCGAGCGAGCGAGCGAGAGAGAGAGAGAGACAGAGAGACGAACGAGAGGTTTCAAGGTCATAATCTGGAGCGGGCACCTTCTTGCCTCCCCTCCCCTCCACCCCCCTCCCCCACCCGCATGTCTCCACTGTCACTCTACGCCTTTATCACCATCATCCACCTAGGGATCATAAGCACCTTCTCCACCTCGAATCGTCCTCCGCTGTTCATCCTCCTCCTCTTCTTCCCTTGCCCTTGTTTCCACCTCCTCCCGTCCACCTCTATCCACTTGCACCTAACCTCGACTTTCCCTTCTCCCTCTCCCCCACTTTCCCTCTCCGCTATTTCCTTCCCCCCTTCCCCTCTCCCCTCCTTCCACTTTCCCCTCTCCCCCACTTCCTCCTCCTCCCCCTCTCTCCGCCCCCCTTCCCGTTCCCGTTCCCTCCACGCCCCCAGGACATCAAGGACGGCCGCCCCCTCCCCCCCGTCCGCCCCCCGCCCCCTAGCCCCGCCCTCTCCACGGGGACATGGACGCGATCGGAATAGAAGGATTTCTCCACAGAATAACGGTGTTCAGGGCGGTGGAAGAAGACGAGGGAGGAACAGGGAGGTAGGAAGAGGAGAGGAGGAGGAGGAGGAGGAGGAGGAGGAGGAGGAAGGAAGGGAGACGGGGGAGGTTGGAAGATGATGAGGAGGAGGAAGAAGGAGGATGAGGGAGGAACAGGGAGGTTGGAAGAGGAGAGGAGGAGGAAGGAAGAGGAGACGGGGGAGGTTGGAAGAGGAGGAGGAGGAGGAAGAAGGAAGAGGAGACGGGGGAGGTTGGAAGAGGAGGAGGAGGAGGAGGAAGACGAGGGAGGAACAGGGAGGTTGGAAGAGGAGAGGAGGAGGAAGAGGAAGAAGGAAGAGGAGACGGGGGAGGTTGGAAGAGGAGGAGGAAGAGGAAGAAAGAGGAGACGGGGGAGGTTGGAAGAGGAGGAGGAGGAAGAAGAAGAAGGAAGAGGAGACGGGGGAGGTTGGAAGAGGAAGAGGAGGAGGAGGAGGAGGAACAAGGAAGAAGAAACGGGGGTGAGAGGTGAGGGGTGAGAGGGAGAGTCAAAAGGGGAATAGGAAGAAAGAAGAGGAGAGGAGGAGGAGGAGGAGGAGGAACAAGGAAGAGGAAACGGGGGTGAGGGGTGAGGGGTGAGAGGGAGAGTCAAAAGGGGAATAGGAAGAAGGAAGAAGAAACGGGGGGTAGAGGGATGAGAGGGGAAACGGGGGAGAAGGGTGAAAGAGAGAGTCAAAAGGGGAAAAGGAAGAAGGAAGAGGAAACGGGGGTGAGGGGTGAGAGGGAGAGTCAAAAGAGGAATAGGAAGGAGGAAGAGGAGAGGAGGAGAGGGGTGAAAGAGAGAGTCAAAAGGGGAAAAGGAAGGAGGAAGAAGTAACGGAGGAGAGAGAGAGAGACCATAATTGAGGGGTGAGAGGGAGAGTCAAAAAGGAAGAGAATACAAGGGAGAGGCGAAGGGGTGAGAAGAAGAGTCAAAAGGGAAGAGGAAACAAGAGGGAAGAGAGAAGAGATGAGACAAGAGTGAAAATAAATACAAGACAGAAGAAAGAGGAAAGAGACAAAAAGACGAAAGGAAGAGAAGTAGGACGAACCGAAGAAGGTAGAGGCAAGAAAGAAGAAGAGATGGAGGAGGTAGAGATAATAAGAAACAGGAAGAGGAGTAAGATAGAGAGGTAAACGGATTAGGAGAAAAAGCGGCAAAAAGAAAAGAGGAGAGGAGAAAAAAAAAGAGGTAAAGGGCATAACAGAAGAGAAAAAAAAATAAAGAAAGAAATAAGAGAGACAAGAAGGTCGAGATAAAAGGGAAGAGGTAAAGGAGAAGAGGGAGTGGCGAAGGAAGGAGGAACTGGAATTGCCAAGGACATGAATTAGGCCACAAGGGGAGGGCTTGGGGGGGAGGGGGGGAGGGGGCGGAAGTCGCGACAGTCCACCTTCGTACCATCTTATTAGCATCATCATTACTGTTATTATTATTATCATATTTTGCTTTGTCATCATCATTACTGTTATATATATATTTTTTTTTGCTTTATCATCAGTACTGTTATTATCTTTTTTGCTTTATCATCATCACTACTATTATTATTATCATCATTACCATTTTACTGTGGTCATAATCATTATTATCATTATCATTCATTATTTTCAATTGTTATTAACATTATCATCATCATTACTGTTACCATTGCCATTATTGTTATTATTACTGTTATTATTATTATCATAATTACTGTTATTATCCTTTTTGTTTTATCATCAACACTACTCATCATTCACTGTTCCCTTATTATTGTCATTATAATTATCATTAGCATTGCTATCATCACTACTTTTATTATTATTATAATTATCATCACCATTACTGCTATTATTGTCACTATTGTTATTGCTAGTATTATCATCATTACTGTTATTATCATCATTACCATTAGTTATTATAGTCATTATAGTTATTTTCATTACTTTTATTATAGTCATTGTCCTTATCATTATCAGTATTACTATTTTTATTGTTATTGTTATTATGATTATCATCATTACTGTCATTC